AGGGGGAAAACTGCCTGTAACAGAGATAAAAAGAAAATATTTTTTTTACCTATACCCTATGTTTGTCAAAATTTCATGTCTCTCACATCTAGAGTATTTAATGTTGTCTTAAAAAAAAAAAAAATCTCTGTCATCACCTTCATACTTCCCAGGTCAGACCTAGGATCTCAGAGTGAATTATTGTTTGGCACCAAGTTTGTTGGCCCATAACTGTACATAATACTGTATTGCTCACCATTATATATTTCCTATTAGGATATTACAGTCATCCTGAACATTTTCAGGAATTCAGGTGGGATCTTGAATTCAAGTTTTTACAGGGGGAGTGGAGAAGTGAAATAATTTCAAGGCTTATCTAGACCTTTACTTTTGTGCCAGACATTCCAAAAATCTGGGCTCAAGGGATTATGTAGCAAAAATCTGCTTAATTCAGTTGCAATTTATTTTGCTTTGCAGTTGAACTGGAAACAATGCCAGGAGAAAAGAAGATAGTTTATGTGGAAGTTGGATCCCTGCTAGCATGAGATAGTGCAAAGGTTGCACCTCTTGGTACTTGGGGAACAGTCAGAAGGGCCATATTTGTTCTCTGATTGCCTTGGCATTGTGTTATAAAAGGTAAATGCTATTTCTGCTCCCTCTCTGGTTTGGCAAGGGAGACTTCTGAATTAGGATTTCACTGTGGGACCAGACTGAATTGGTGATTTTCTCTTGGCTGGGGTTCCTTCTCAGTCAAAGCTGTCCTTCTACTAAACAAACCAGTCCCCTTTTCCTCAACAGAACCCGAAAGGCAAGTGCAGAATTCCCACTTTAGTAACCCAGGTTTCTTTCTTAATTGCTTACAGACAAAAATCCCTGGGAGAATGCTGTTTTATTGCTTACATTGCAGTGTTTTCCACCAAATATCTGTATAGTTAATAAAGTTTTCAAAAATACATTGGATTTTCTTTTAGTAAGGCAGTAGCAGTTTATAGCAGGGAGCTAAATTGCTAGTGAGGAAATGCACATTAAAGGAACATTTTGATGTTATTAAAAATAATGTGCAGCCTTTGAAAAATGCAGGCCTAATATGATTTTGAAAGACATATGAGGAGCTCCAATAAGTTTACAGCCATTGAGCGTCTCCAAGTAATCGTTGGTCCTGACATTTTTATGTTTCATTTTTAATTGCTGCAGCTAATAATGCTAATGAGGTAAGACTGGCCATGGCTTAGGCATACCAGTGGTAACGGTGAAGGGGAGAATATGGAATTGGCAGCAGTCCTGCTAGGCACTCGTCCTCCCTTATCTTTCCCAGACAAAGACCTGAGGCACTCCAAGCCTCAGAGTTCCTCCTCCCTACACAGCCACAGGAAAAATGATGCAGAAGGGACCTCTGGCAGTGACAAACCTTCCTGAGAGTAGTAGCCATGGAAAATCCATAGCTTGTCTTCCCTTGGAGAAAGGTATTGCTGTTTGACTCTACTGCACCCAGTGTTACAGCACTTCTGGGACTGTACTAGGAGGGAAAGCAGCTTCCTCTTTAGTCCTTGGTGCAGAATTAACCCAAAGCAGATAGTTCTTATGAAAGATAGCACAGATTTGAGCTTTGATTTAGGGGGTCTACAGCTGGATTTATTTGGTATGTGAGTAATTAAAACCTCGAGTCTTGCTGTTTCAGCCCTAGTTCTGACCCTGATTTGATCACTGTATTGTTCCATCCCTAATCCTTTGGTGAGGTTAGAGCAGGTTAATCTTAGTGAAAGGTTTGCTTAATTCTACCCTCACTCATTTGTTCTCTTAATAAAATGTGCATAAAGAATGGAAAAATAATAATTCTTTCAGCTTGTTCCAATTACTTTGAGAGCAAAGCTAATTCAGCTGAAGCAGCTTAAGAGCAACTTGACTCTGTTTCTACAGTTGAGGCTCTGTGCCAACAGAAGATGAAAAACCTTCTATGCTCCAGAGCAGTATCGATATCTTCCTCTGGTTAAAATCTGAAACATGTTCATGTTCAGCTCTTGGATGTTGCATGGCTTTTTCTCTAGTCTTGTGCCTTGCTGCTCACTCCTGCCAAATTCAGTGTTTCTGTCTCTTTTGCTCCTCTTTTGGACTGCTGTGTTCTCACAGCCCATTACCAAAGCAGAAGAAATGGAATTGAGTGTATGGGCGTTTACTGTGTCCATTGTGAGAAGCAAAAAACTTTTTTCCATTGTCTCTGTCTCATCAGAAAGGACTTGTGGCTAAATGACACTTTAGTATGGACCAATATGGTTATCCTTGTGGTTCTCTGGGGTTGGCAGTGAGGCATCACATTTTTACAGGCATGAGTGGTCCTGAAAACCAGAGATGTAGATTTCTCCTGTGATGTCTTTGAATATAGAGGTGGGTAAGAAGATGGCAGTGTCCCTCTGTTGTCCTTTGCAGACCACTTCACTGCTGGGAAAGCATGGAATGGTGTGGCAGAGTTGCTTTCTGGTGACTGGTTCTTACTAGAGGATCTTTCAAAGCTGACACAGGACAGAGAGGGAATACCAGCTGCCTAACTGAATGGAAGCACAAGCCCAGCCTCACTCCTTACCAGATATGGATGCTAGGCAGGGGCTGGTGGGTGACAGTGTAAAGCTTTTTTCTACCATGCTAGATGCTCAGGAAGTTTAGAGGAGGGAGTACACTGTGGGCATCCATCCCTCTGTGCCTCAGAGTTTGCTCCATAGCAACAGGCAGGGATGAGGAACTGGAAAAATGGAAGAAGAGACTATGGAAAGAGAAACATAGGTGAGGACCTGAAGTAATCTCAAATCAAAGACTTGCCTATGCAGTAAGCTCAAGAAATGACTCTGGGACATATTCCACTTATCCTGAAAGCTTTTCTCCTTAGCACTCCCTTGGTCTGCATGAGATGACCCCATCTGTGAATGTATGGAGAAAGTCACCCTTAGGCATCTTCCTCTGGAGTAAAAATACTGAATAACATGACATCCATAAGGGATACAGTCATCTAAGAAGGGCATGATAGATGGAAGTGTTGCCAAAAGGCATTGAAAGGAAGGGATAGAAAAGGTGAGAAAATTTATCTAAGGAAATAAAAGCATTTTAAATTAAACCTGAGTGGAGGGCGTTTGTATGGATGGCAGGCCCTGCCTGTCCCATTGAACACTTGTCTAAGGAGAGAGAGAACTGGAATAATTCTTAGTCTCTGCTACATGATGCCTCTCAGTAGAAACTAAAGCTTTAATTTTATGATACCTTGAGGGGCCAAATCCAATCTGAGCATTATTACAGTGTTGGCACAACTCAGTCACATAAGTTCCCTTTTCTCTTTTTTGCCAGCCAAGCTTCCAAGCCTCACCAGGGGAAAAGCTGCAGTGCTTGAGTTTGTGCTGGCTTCGTTGTGCTGGTTGGGGGTTCTCCCTGGTACCTTAGAGAGATGCTCACAGGTTGGTAAGATGGCTCTTTAACTGGACAAGGAGACCTGGCTGAGGTTTACTAACAAGGTAATAAAAGCCTCAAAATAGTCAAGGTGATGACAAGAAGAGGTTCAAAGAAGCATGACAATCTGTGGCTCTTGAACAACAGGCTCCTGCCACAGTGAGAAGAAAACAATACCATATTGGCTGTGGCACTTTGATGCCAGGAATGCTGCTTTACAGACCATAGGAGAAATCTCTCAAATGTGCTCTGACTTCTGGTCTTGTTTGGTAAGCCAAGACTCAAGTCTCTTCCTTGTTTTTTACTTATATCATGCCCTAAAGCATCACAGAAAAGTGGAAAAAAGATTTAAACCTTTAGAAGAGAGGGTAGGATAGTATTAAATGGGATTTCAATTTGGGTGGCAAGGAATAACTCTCCTCCAACCCTGTGGATAGAGAATGCACTTAATGGGAAAGCAATAGAAAGTACTTATGACTGGGTCCTTCCCTAAGCAGAAAAGTCTATTTGTGACATACCTCTGCTCCACATATCTGTCCCAAACCCTTTTTAGTCTTTATACCTTCCTCACCTCCACAGAAATACAAAAACAACTGAAATGAGCCTAGTCAGAACGACCTCCAAAGTGTGGTGGTTTGATTTCAGCAATAAATCTCCCCTTGATGATTCACACTGACACTGTATTGCCAATAGATTATAGGGTTGCAGCTATTTTCCACGCAGGAGAACACACAAAGGAACCCCCGCCAGCCCTTGCAGTGCTCTCAATCAAATAAAAGCCCTTTAGCTTCCTGTTGCAGAGTTCTCTCTAGGATTCATGTATATTTTATCAAAGTTACACGCTTCTGATACTTGTTTCTAAAGTGCTTTAGAATGAATCCCAAGATGTACTGAAATGCTGCAGTGGCCAATTTAAAAAAAATCAAGGTTAGAGTAGAGAAAAAAAATTAAATGCCTTGACTCTATAGCATGCAATAAGAGCAAATTCTGCTCAACAGGCTTCTACTGATATAAATACGCAGAAGAAACACAAACATATATCTCTATGAAATCATTCCACTCCTCTTAATTGTACCTGAGAGCACCAGGAACAAAGAGGAACTTCACTGTTTCACCTCTTATAAGTGGAGGTTCTGCAATGATCTGAAGCTATTTTTTTGCCAGAAGGGCTTTTACAAGACAACACACACGTCAGCACTGGAGAGCTGTGACCTCAGTGAAAATCAGTTACTCTGAAGATAGTTAATAACAATATGGAATACAGAAAAAAAACCCCAAACTTGTATTTACCAACTGGCTTTTTTTTTTTTTTAAGATTTATGTCCTAAGCTAAGATGGGAGATAAAGAATTGCAATGATATTTTCAGAAGGAAGGAGTATTCTTATTAATTTTTTAAGCAGCATTTCATGACTCCTTTGTCCTTCAGACATTTCCAAATTTTACACCAAGAAGGATGGACAGAAAACAAGTTCTGGCTACGGTATAATAAGGTATTTAGGTTGAAGTCAGCAGGAGCCAGCATAGTGGAGGGGTGATTTAAAAATAAAAAAAAAAGTATTCATTTTGTATGCAATAAAGCTTTAGTACTTACAGCTGTCCTCTTCTTCAGTAATACACTTCACAACATAACAGGCATAGATGAAGCCTGCCAGCTGAAACAGAATGTAATAGCATTAGATGTAAGACAAATACAACAGAAAAACAAGAGACAGCTTTAGAAAAGCAACAACAGAAACAACAAAATTCGACAGACTATCTTTGATGAGGTAAAGATAATTCTCTACAATAGTTTAGTAATTTTAATTGGAAATAGTCAGGGGAATTTTGCATCTTTCTTGAATATCGCATCCTTCAATAAAACTTCCAAAAATTGACCAAAATTTTTCCAATACCTAATTGACTTCTTCTTAATTATTGAAAACTAGAAGAGCAAGTGAGTGATTGGGTTTTTGGCCACTGATAATGTAAAGACTTCTGTCAAAATCAGATTTGTTATCCAACAAAACCTGGGCCTCTAGCAGAACTTTTTTTAAAGTCAGAACCTTGACAACTAAACAAAGGACAAATTCAGTGCACTTGTAAACCAGCTTTATGGTGATATTTTATCACTTGAAATTATGGCTGTGGATTAATGGGACTTGTTCCCATATCTGCAATAGTCCCTAAGCCTCAAGACATATCTAGCTCCTTGGATAGGTCTGGGTGTGTTTACATCAGCACCTCACACAGCAGCTGGCAAATTTGTATCTTTTTCCTTTAAATCCCCTCTGAAGAGCCTGTCCAGAATTGAATTGTAAGCAGAAGGAATTAGATTTAGGGAAAATGAAAATCTGTAACAGTTATTGAAGTACCAGCTTAAAAAAATAATACAAAAAGGAATAAAGGGCCAAAATCACACATCCAACAGGCTAGGTATCATGTGAGTCCTCTGCTGGTCCCTTGAGCAAGTTCTATTATTGCTAAGAAGTCACACCAGAAGTAACAGAACAAATACTGGATCAGCAACACAAGCCATGTGTTCCATGCTTTACACAACTTCCTTAACATCTAGGTCTGGAGAGTTTTCTCCACTAAATCATAATAAACAAGTTTTCACCCTTTTTCTCATTGCTGAAATTTGCACGGTAAGATGTCAAAAGAATTCAAGTTGTTGATCTCTTTGTAGTGAAAAGTGAGCCGTGCTGTTGGAATCTGTTATTCTGCACATGTCATCTCGCAGAGATATTTTCATGAGCTGCAAGCCCATCTGCACACTTTGGGAATTAGTTCTTCATGTGGATAATAAAAGTGCCTAGGTGCTCCAGACAGGAGAGAGTTCTCTTTGTGCATGGTGCAAAATCCATAATCTCTGGCTGAGGGAGATGATGCTCTTAATTTCAGGTTGAGTAATCAGTGGGTTGGAGAATAGAAAAAGTGAAATCTGAGAAATCATTATGAATGCTGGTTAGTGAAAAATGACTTTTTTTTTCATTAATCCAAGGCACGTGTGCAATCACTGCAATGCTGTGGGTTCTTAGAGCCCTTAATATTACCCATATACAAATTAAATGCAATCAAATCCACTGTATTTCCTAGTACATTCATACCTGAGGCAGTGACTGTGCCAAGTTTACTCCAGCTTTTACACAGATATTCCTGGAATTTCTGTCAGTTTTCTAGGTAGCAAACTCCCCATACCCACAAATGCTAGCTTCTAACATCTGTATGGGTGAGAGATGACTAAAGGGAAAAAAAAGGTCAGCCTCAAGGCTTTTCTGAAGAGATCAAGACTTGATTTGGAACTCACACTGAAGCCAGCACAGATATTGTCTGCTAACTGCTTAAGCTCCTTTTGAGAGCCCAGAAGCTGCATTACAACAGAACTAAACCATTAATTTTGTCATTTATTATAAATCTGCCTTATAGTGCTGCTGGGAAGATTTTACACCTGGGAAGGATGAAATATTTAGTGCTGGACACAAAGAACTCACTGTACCAAGAACAGTGGCATTCAGCTAATATCAGCATTTCATCTCTGTTTTATTGGATCACTATTCCCTTTCATTTCTTGGCTTCAAGACAGAGGGCTAATTTGCTCCACTGACTTACGCCCTGTATAACCCCATTGACTTCAATGACATTACATGAGGTTTAATTCAGCAACAGAGTAGGCCCAGAAAGGTTGTTCATAAATGATTCCATTCTTGGATGTGAACCTTGGCTTAATAGTTTCTCTGTTCTCTTTTTACAGACCATCAGATCCCAGTTAGTTGAATAGTTGCATCTCCAGTAGGCTGCTATGGTAATCCTTTTCTTGCAATACAGTTCAATATTCTACTATCTTCTAAACAGCCACAAGTTCACTTATTAGTAACTGAACTTCTCTTACAAAATACAGCAAACAAACTGTATCACAAATGATGTTTACAGCTGATTTTCTAATTGTATTCAGTTACATCCCTTAAATCTCTGGGGAACTCCTTTGATATACAAGCAAATCCTACAGCATTTCATCAGATGAGCTTGTTGGTTAAAAGAATGCCTTAAAGCTCAGATTGTTCTGATCTAAGTACAAATGGAAGCTTTTTTCCCATGAGATAATCAGAGTTCATAAAATAAACCTCTCCCTCTCCCGCATTTATCTAACCCTTTGCTTGGTTAGATAATAACATACACATAATAATTTTGTTTTAATTTAAATCTCACATTAGTTTTTTCTTCTTTCTCTCTTTTTTTTTTTTTTTTTTTTAACCAAGCAATTTATCAGTTCTGATCCAGTGACAGCCATTCAAGATTTATCTTCTAATTGCATCAGCAGTAGTGGGCACACACTCTGAGCTGAGGCTCAGAACCAAAAGTGGCAGCTTTTACTTTGATACTCAATGATCTGAGCCCATGGTGACTACAAACACCTCTGGGATAGAGATCAGGAACATGCTTTCTCCCCTGTGGACTAGGACTTCCCATAGGAAAGGTACTGTTCATCTACACACGTAGCAGAGATTTCTTGGGGATCAGACAACTAAAATTGTTAATGAATTCCTGCAGGGATGAAGGGCTTTCACAAAATTTACCGCCTTTGTTACAATGTATGATGCGCTTCTTTGACCTTTTTTTCTCTAAGAGAAGTACACTGCAATGTACCTATGCACAGCAGAAAAAAACCATCCAAACAAAACTCTTCACTGAACACACTCCTCACCTGGAGAAGATGATGAGGGAAAAAACCAAATCAAATGCAAATGATAGAGGTCAGTCACATCAGTTAATATATTCCTGGGAAGCCCTCAAACAGCAGCGCTCAGTGCACTATCAGAATTACAGAGTCTTCCTAATTCAGTATTTCCAAATGATTTTTATCTTATGTGAGAAAGAAGGTAATGAGTCTTCAGAGATAAAGAAGAGAAGGAACCTGTCTCAGAAAATCAGTTTAGAACTAAGAAAGTTAGCTTGAAAACTCTTGCTGCCTTGCATCCCAATTTTTTTTTTTTTAATTAACCAAGCTTTGTTTTTTATAAACCGTGTGATAAAAAGTGATAAAAAGAAATAGGTGCAATGAACAGAAGATCAGTTCTGGATCCCAGACCCATCAAGATTAGGTGACTACATCTGTCCCATTCATATTTAATGCTGTAGTATGGGCCTCTAGAGGAGAAGGAACCATTAACAACAACCCTGCTCACTTATACATATAATGAGTAGTGAATGTATGTTTTTATGAACCTCATTTTCTGCAGCTTGAAAAAAAATTGCTCTCTACAACTTTCCCTGATATGTCCATATGAAAGTATAAATGAGTACTGCTCTTTGCCTGCACCAGCTCCCTGCATCTACTTCGAGGGCATCATGTTGACATTATTTTACATACAATGATCTTAAACGTTTGGGCGTTTTTTAATGTTTTTTTTTTTTTTTTTCCCAATCTATAAACTTGTTGATAAAACCATCTTTCCTTCTGCAAAGCTAAAAAGAAGACAGGCAAAAGCCTAAAATAAGTCAGCAATAAAACAGCACTACTGAAGCTTTGGTAATAAGATTAATTACAGAATAAATTTAATGCATCTTGTTGCCTTATTATAGCCATATAATGCCAATAAAAAAGTAGATAGAATATTCCC